GCGGGGGGCGAGGCGAGGGCGGTGCGCGCAGGCCGGGCGCCCGGCCCACTGATCCCTGGATTGTACCTGCTACCACAGCTGCCGGAGCCGCTCATCTCCTTCCGCTTCTACCACGAGCTAGTGGGGCTGGCCAAGGACAATCTGAAGGCCGAGGCTGAAGCCAAGGCAGCGTCCCGGGGCCGGCCAGACGTCGGCGCGAGCGAGGCAGCGGCGGTGACCATGGCGGGCCAGCTGCGGGAGCTCCTGCGAGAACTGCCTCCCGAGAACCGGGCCACGCTGCAGTACCTGCTGCGGCACCTGCGCAGGTGAGGGCCGGCCAGACAGGGGTCAGGGTCGCGCGCCGTGTCCAGGAGCCGTTCGCGCTGACCGCAGCACCTTCTGACTGCGCAGGATTGTGGAGGTGGAGCAGGACAACAAGATGACTCCCGGGAACCTGGGTATCGTGTTTGGGCCCACGCTGCTGCGCCCGCGGCCCACGGACGCCACCGTGTCCCTCTCCTCCCTGGTCGACTACCCCCACCAGGCTCGCATTGTGGAGATCCTTATCTCCCACTACAGTCTGGTTTTCCAGGAGGAGTCGGAGGAGGTGCCTGCCGCCCAGGTGAGGTTGGCAGGTGGGCCCCAAGACAGACCGTGCTGTGGGAGGGGTTTCGCCTTGAGCATGTATGGGAGGCCGGGAATCTCACTGCTCCTGGAGGACTGCAAGGGTACAAGGCGGTGCTTGGTTTGGACATGGTGGCGGGCAGCCTCTGAGGCCCTTGCAAGCAAAGGGATAAAGTGTGGCCTCAGGTCTGGGGGAGCCTTGGCGGCATGAAGTCCCGTGGCTGTGCCTCCGACCGCGTCGGAAACTCACAGCAGAGACCTCCACCTCCTAGCCGGGCCTCCCCAGATTCCCATCTCTGCCCTGATCCCAGCTCATGTGCTGCTCAGCAGGGATCAACTTGCCACTTTGCTGCTGGCTTCGTCTGTACAGTCCTGTGTTTCATTTCAGGACATCGTTTTGCTCCTATATTCGTGTCCTCCTTGCACGCTGTGACCCCTTGACAGGCGTCACTCCTGTTCGGGCTAGCAGGCTTCCTGGCTTCGGAAGGCAGGATGTGGGCATTTGTGGACTGGGCATGGCTCAGGAGAGGGGTCAGCCTTTCAGGCCAGGGTGTCTGCCCCTGTTGGGCCACTAGTTATTTTAACATTTGTTTGTGAATACAAGAACAACCGGGGTACAGGCCAGAGGTGAGGAGGTGAAAGGATTCACCAGAGACAGCGGGGAGCAGAACAGGCAGATGGACTGAAATCCACTGCTGAGGGGAGCAAGTGGGGAGGCAAGAGAGGTCTGCTGTGCCCTGTGGGTCATTCCCTGGCCGGGGGTCTTATTTGAGCTGCAGTGGCTGTGCTTTAAACCTGTGGTGCCAAGTTTGTTACTTACAATGTGGGAATGGGTGGCCTCAAATCCTCAATGCACTGGGTGTTACATTTGGAGGGTTTTAAAATTATGGTTAATTTAGAAGACAGGGCATGAAATCTAGTCCCTCCTTGGCTTCTGTTCTGCCCCTGCAGGACGGAATAGCCAACCACCAGGCAGAGGTGGTCGTGCAAACGCCAAACCTCAGGGCAAGCGAGGAATCTGAGGATGGAGGCCAAGGTGAGTTGTATGGCCCTGGGAGATTAGGGGCGTGGCTGGTGCTCGGGTGCCCGATGGGTAGGGAGCATGTCGGCAGCTGCTATGCTGTGGATCCACAGCCCAGAAGCTGCACGTTTCAGGCGGGTTCCTTCCACGGAGACACATTTGTTGGCTGTTCATGTCCTGTCTGATGCAAACAGAGGTGACCTTTTGAGGCTTCAAGCCCAAGACATGGCCACGGAATGTGGAAATGATACTGTTCATTAAAGTTCTGCTCTTGCCGACTGTGGCGGGAGACCTCAGAGTGGGGAGGTGGCCAGGAGGGTGGCGTCACTGGTGTCCCTGCTGGCCACAGACGCTTCTTCTCTCTCGGGTTTCCCAGAATCCCGTGTTGCGTCAAATGACTCTGAGTCTGAGCTTGAGGAGGAAGTGGATCTGCTGTCGTCATCTGCAGGCGGGAGTGTCCTGCCCTGCCTTGGCCTCTTGGACAATCAGCTGGGCAGTGAGGCCAGTATGGAGGAGTCTGGGGACAGCCTTAGCCTCAGCTGCAATGAAGAGCAGCTAAGGGCTGCGGCCGAGGAGGTGGGGGTCGGGCCGGAGCCTGAGGGGGCTGTCCAGGTGTAGCCCCAACAGTGCAGCCATTCGGCCTGGTCCAGCTGCCTGCTTCACGGCATGTGGGCGGCAGAGGCACCAGCCAGAAGTGGCGACCGACCCATCGGGCAGCCTGGCTCCTGTCCCTGTGTCCCCGAGTGTGGGCATTTGGTCTCGGCTCTTTGCAATGTCAGCCCACCACAGCGAGGGCTTCTTCCTGCACTGTCTTGGGCACTGTTGGCCACCTTCCCAAAGCTGCCTTGTCCTTGCCTGGTGCAGGGCTGGGCACCGAGGCTTGACTGCTTGCTGTCGCTGAAACTGGGAGTGCCCATGCTGGAACTTTGAGTGGTCCCAGGAAGCTTTAGCTTTTCCAGAAAACTGGGTTTGGACACCGGGCACACCGGGCTTTAGGTACATAGGGAGGGCGCCTAGGTGAGAATGTTGGGCCAAATTAATTTTATTTAGTCTTTGACCCAAGCCTGCCTTCTCAGGCAGCAGGGAGTACCAGGGGTACCTTAGCTTCTCCCGTTTCCATGAGTCCAGGTGACTGAGGCAGGCTGTGAGGACACTCAGCTGTCCAACAGCCCCCGCACAGAACTTACAGATCTGCTATCCGGTACGGCAGCACCCAGTCCTGTGTGGCTCTGGAGTGCCTGAGTGGCCAGCCTGCATGAGAACAGCAATTGCTACTTCATTTTCACTTTTTCAGAAGGAGGCAACTTAGAGGCAGGGGCAAGCATCTCTGATAGCACTGCGAGTTGTCAGTGAGAAGCAGGATGCTCCTCAGTTGCTACTGGCCTCTCGCCCAGCAGACTCACATCAGGCTTATCCTGGAGGGCCAAGGACGGCTCGGCCAAGCAGGTCCCACCTGTCGCTTTATGCAGCTCCAGGGGACAGCAGGCACCGTAGAGGGCCTGGAACTGCCCCTGGAACCTGCAGCAAACGCTGGGCTGAGATAGCTGCCGCTGGCCGCCGCTGGGACAGCAGAACAGTGGGACAGCACTGCTGGGCTAGGGACAAGGCCACCCTTCTCAGAGATTCACGGGCACAGACATGCCTGCCCGCTCACAAGGCTTTTCAGGCAGCTGCGTCTTCAGGTACGACTTGACCTGGCTCACAGGTCTCACGGTGCCAGCCCCCATTGACCCCACACAGCCGTCAGACACCCCTCTTCCAGGAGCCCCAAGGCCAGTGCTGACCAAGCTCAGGGATGTGGAGTAAGCCATGCAAGGGGCACAGGCCGGTCTCGAGGGTCCATCTGGATTCCTGGGGAGCCAGGTGCTGCCGGCTGGGCCGCAGCACAGTACCGCCCGGTGACAGCACTGCGTGCCGCTGCGGCGGGGCACTGGGAGGTCAGTGGGGACCTGTGCAGCCTGACACGCAAACCCTGGGCAGTCAACTGCTCGGGTGTGGGCTTGGCCCGAGGTACAGGTAATGCTTAGTGTTAACCCTTTCGAGTGCAGCTAAGAAGCGGAACGCTGCTCCAGCCACCCCCACAGCCCTGACAGTTCATCTTCCGGAAATGAAGCTGTTGGCGAAGAGCGCCAGCACCCCAGCACCCACACACTTCCGTGTGGACCCCACTCCCTGAGGGAATCACTGTCTTCGTGTCTTAGCTTTTTGGGACCACGATGATTTGGGGGGGTGTGTGTGTGGGAAAGGAATAACCCGTGTGCTGTTACATGTATCACAGAACTGTAATCCTTTAAACGAAGCTGGTGAACACCGTGTGCACTTATGAGTTTGTAACGGTGGGGGACGGGACTGCTCCGTGACCGCCACGGCCGGTGTCTGTTTAGGGACGAAGGTTGTAGTCGAGGCCAAGCGTGTGAACAGGTGCGAGAGCAGGGTTAAGTGTGTGGTGAGGAGTCTGTGTCTGAACCTGTGGCACTTCCAGAGCTCAGTAATAAAGGCGACCCGCTAAGCAGTGGGCAAAAGGAGCTACACGGAGGTTTCTTCAGACGAGCTACAAATGGCTACTGAGCACACGAAAAGGCGCTCAGCAGCGTTGGGGGAAACTGAGTCATAATGACGCAACACTGCCCCTCCAGCCAGGGCGCCCTGGAGCAGGGGAGCAGGGGAACGAGCGTCGGAGAGATGTGGAGACCGGAGCCTGGTCAGGGTCGCAAGGTGGCGCAGTCTAGCAGTCAGTTTCTCAGAAAAAAGGTCTCCAGAATTCCACTCCCATTAGATTCACGCTTGCCAGGAAGTGGACACACCCCACATGTCCAGGTGGAGAGAACATGCCCGTCCACACACGGGAGCATCGCTGGCTGCGAACACGGACAGGCCAGGCACGACCGCAGGGTGGGCTCGTGGGGTCAGGTGGGATTACGGCCGGCGGGGTGGCACTTCTTGGGAGGGTGTGCCGGCATCCACTACTAAGAGTCACTACCATGTGCTCTGGAACATCAATTTTATCTTTTAGAAAAACACAGGGTCCTCTGGCAGCCTAGGGGAGAGTCTCAGCACTGCCGCAGCTACTGCTTGCGTGTAACCCCTGGCCCCGGGCTGACCCCCAGGGCACAGCCGAGCACTCCTGTCTCCCCACTGCTCCCCTCAGCAGTTTCAGTCAGCCTGCCTGTTCTGCTCCCCACTGTCCTCACCCACTATCTCTGGTGAATCTTCTCACCACCCCTGCACCTCTGGCCTGCACCCCATTCTGTATACATAAATACATATTGAAAAAAAAGGTATACGGGGACCTTCCCTGGTGGCCCAGCACTACCAAGCTATTGCCAGCCCTGCAGCACGAGTGTGATCTCCGGCCAGGGAGGGACCCACGCGGCGCAGCAGACCCCTCCTGTCTCCCCGCTGCTCCCCTCAGCAGTGTGTTACAGTGGATCTGCCTGTTCTGTTCCCTGCTCTGTCTCTGGTGAATCCTCACCCCAGTTCTTCTATACAAAGATAAGTAAAATCTTTAAAAGAAAAAAAAAGCTTCTGCGCTTGCTTTCTTTGAAAGAAAGGGGACAGGGTACAGGCCAGAGGTGCAGAGGCCCTGAGAGGAGTCACCAGAGGCAGAGTGGGGAGCAGAACAGGCAGATCGACAAAGTCCACTGCTGAGGGGGGCAGCGGGGAGACGGGCGGTCTGCCGCGTCACCTCCCTGGCCGGGGGTCGAACTTGTGTTGAAGCAGCTGCATCACCAGGGAGGGCACCAGGGGCAGGCAAGGGCTGGAGGGAGACAACACCAATGATCACTGTTGGCCTGGGCAGTGGGTGCCTCTCAGAGGCAGCCAGACACTAAAGGGGTGCAGTGGGGAGCAGCCCCAGCTTTGGGCGAGGAAAGCACCGGAGACGCTGAGTGCAGCCCGTGGCGGTAGGGCCTGCGCCGGGGCGGGGCAGCCGCAGTCCAGGGAGCACGGCCAGAGCCGGACACAGGCTCTGGCGCAGACCCGTCACCCAGCCTTGCTTTCTCAGACGCGTCTCTTACTCAAAATAACTTTAATTGTAACACAGCATTCAAAAGCAATCCCGGGCCCGGGGAGCTTTAATCTCCCTCTGCTGCTCTCACAACTCGCTGGCAAAGGGCCAGCTCGCAGCGTGGCCAGGAGTGGGCACTTCCGGGCCATGTTGGGGGCAGGGAGACACAGGCCTGCCGCGTGGCGGGGTCCCAGCAGCCTCCATCGGGCATTCTGTCCCCTCTGGCCACCATCCGTAGTGTCCAGGGGGGTTCAGCGGCGGCCATGAGGACCCTGTGCCTAGGCTGTCACCACATCCCAAGTCTGGTCAGTCACCTCCCGGGCGCTGGGCAGAACTGCAGTGGCCATGCTCACAGCACAGAGCTGGACACCCTGCATACCCAGCAGGGAAGGCAGGCGCCCCAGCGTGGTCCCAGTGTCCACACGGTGCCGCACACCTGTGGGGTGCGGCTACTGCACCAGCCGATAGGTGATGTACCGGCCCGCCGTCTCGCTGGGCCGAATGATCTTCACCACCTGCAGGGCGGAAGCTGAGTCGGGCCCTTCCCGCGGACCGACCGTTGGAGGGAGGCCGGGCAGGCGGGTCCAGGGGCAGCACCAAACCTGGGCTCTACGCTGCCAGTCCCGACCCTAAGACAGGGTCACGGGGGTGGTCCTGCGTGCCCCCCATCTTGTCCAAGAGGAAAGGTGCGGTGCAGGGCGGCCCTTACCTGCCCTCGCTTTATCCCGAAGTAGCGAGCTACAGGGTCTCCTGCCTGGATGCGGGGCAGCTGGTTCTCTCGGAGTTTACTGGGAATCATGGTCAAGGACAAAGT